CTGTATATGCAGAGAATGGCTTATGTATTACTCCCAGTACCGGTTTACCATTGACAGCTACACACACCATTGTAGTGACATATTTCCGAAGATCCTCTATATGGAATAGAAAAAAAAAAAGAAATACCAGGGTTAAAGTCACAAAATATAAATCCAGAATCCAGATCAGCTTTTATAACAAAAGGTTCCTATTTTCTTTATTTGAAAAAAAAGTGATATGAAATAGTTCCGTGGGGCAAGTCTCTCCTAAAATAGATGTAGCCTTACCCCAGGATGAACCTCTTGCAAATATAAAGTAAATTCTAGTTTTCATCAATCTACTCCTGTGGAAGATTATTTCTTACATAACATCTATTTCCAATGTACTTTATTCAAATGAATATGTTCTTTTTGCATTTCAACTATCTTGCCTTTCAAAGGGAATGTAAGGTCAAGCTTTTCAAAGCTTCCACTGTGAATCATTTTGTCAATCTCCAAGATCACGAATGTACATGAAATAAATTCTGAATTCATAGGAAATATAAGGGAGTGCAGTATTGCTTTTAACTGAATTTTCTTGTCAAACCAAAAAACAATTTGTTTAGAATCTGAGATGAACATAATCAGTACACTTCTGGCCCAAGATATATTAAAACCCACAGATCAGTATATCAATAAATATAGCATTAAATTAACATGTTAAATATAATTTAATCTTTTTGATGGCTCAGAATGCTGCAACCTTACAATTAGAAAGGACCTTAGAGATTATCTTCCATTTTACAGATGAGGAACCTGAGGTCAAAAGAAGGGATGTGATTTGCCCAAGGTCACTCAGGAGCAGCAGGGCCAGGGCATCAGGGTCATCACTCTGAATTCTAAATATCAAATTTCACTGTCTTAGATACACGGGAGTTGTAAAAGTTCTATGAGATTAGACTGAATATAACTTTTGGTCAATCCCTAATAATTTGTTTTCCTCAAATTTGCCTCTTTCCATTGAAAACAGAGCATAACCAAAAAATTCTCCTAGTCAACTGAAGATGTATTTAGTTGTGTTTTATACTTAAGGTTATCTTACAAAGAAGTAAAAATTACTTAGTAAATACTAATGAAAATTCATGGAATGTGCCCCACAAAGAGAATGTGGCTATTGGGGGGTATATTTTATTTAAAAAGGATAAATTATTAAATTATTTATTAAAGTTATTAAATCATTCAATATTGTATTGGAAATCTAGCAATAGCAATAAGAAAAGGAAATAGAAGGAATCAGAATAGGGAATGAGGTAATAAAACTACCTCTTTTTACAGACAATATGATGGTATACTTAGAAAATCCCAAAGACTCAACTTAAAAAGTTAGTTGAAGCAATTAATAATTTTAGTAAAGTAGCAGGACATAAAATAAATCCACATAAATCATCAGCATTCCTATATATCACAAACAAAACCCTGCAAGACATAGTAAAAGATACCTCATTTAAATTAACTCTAGATAGTATAAAATACCTGGGAGTACACCTGCCAAAACAAACCCAGGCACTACATAAACAAAATTATAAAAAAAAAAACTTGCATACACATAAAATCAGATGTAAATAATTGGAGAAATACTAATTGTTCATGGGTAGGCAGGGCCAATATAATAAAAAAATGACAATTTTACCTAAACTAATTCATATATTCAATGCCATTCCAATTAAATTAACAAAAAAAAAATACTGAATTAGAAAAAAAAATGATTCATTTAGAAAAACAAAAAAGTTAAGAAAATCAAAGGAACTAATGAAAAAATGTAAAGGAAGGAGATTTAGCAGTACCCGATCTTATAATGCCTTCTGATTTCAAATCCCAGGGCATCATTCCTGGTTTTTTGCTTTCCAAGTGAATCGATCCATCCATTTTTTAACCAATAATTTATATTTCTTTTCTTTTTTCCCTTTTTAATAAATATTTAATACTTTTCTTCCAGTTACATGTAAAAACAATTTTTAACATTCAGTTTTTTGAATTTTTAGTTCCAAATTTTCTCCCTCCTCTTCTCTTCTAGAGAAAGCAATTTGATATAAATTACACATGGATAACTCATTTCTGTAGCAGTTTTTATTGTTGTGAAAAAAAGTGGTTCTCTGAACAACCCTGTGAAGCAGACAGTCCAAATAATATTATCTCTACTCTTGGGGCTGAGGACATAAAAGTTTACAAAAGTCAGAGGAACGTGCCTGTGGCCGGAGAGCCAGCAATTGAACCCAGTTCTCCTGTTTTCACATTCAGTGCTCCATTCCAGCACATCTCATTATCATGCAATACTTGCTCAATACATTCTATCCTGTGGCCCATTTATCTTATGGCTGAAGTCTAAACAGGCCAGCTAGGTGGTACAGTCCTGAAGTCAGGCAGCTCATCTTCTGAGTTCAAATCTGGCCTCAGACACTTACCAACTGCGTGACCCTGAGCAAGTCACTTAATCCTCTTCACCTCAATTTTCTCATCTTTAAAATAAGCTGTTAAGGAAATGGCAAACTACTGCATTATCTTTGCCAAGAATACCCCAAATGGGGAAGAGTCAGATACGACTTAACTAAGGAATATAATACCTTCAGACTGAGAAGGTTAAACAAAAATTGCTAGCAGTAAAAAGAAAACCCAGACAAGTAGGACATGCTAAGAAAACACAGACCAGCCTAGAGAGTTCACAACTCACCAGACCTGGATGAATTCTATCACAGGGCACAGAAAAACATTCAAATGTCTCACAAGGTACCAGAAAAAGGTAAAACTTCAGAATAATTAAGGCTGTCTAAAAATGTAATGAGCTGCTTTAAAAAGTACTAAGTTCCCTGTCACTTCAAGCCTTCAAGCATGAACTAAAGGACCACTTATTATGGATGTTTTGAAGGAGAATCCAGTTCTGATACAGGTTGGACTAGAAATCTATAAGGTTTCTTCCAGCTCAATGTTTGTGAATCTAGGTCCGGAAATAACTAAATCATTTTTATTAGGGAAAGGATTAACATTAGAGAATGGATTTTGGCCATGAAAGGTTAGAGTATAAACCTTTTATTTATTAAAAGGCTCTATGCTTGGGTCAGTTTTATCTATAAATCTAAACCTATTTAAAGATTAAGTGATTAAACCACCTCAGAAGGCAATGTGTTGTTGAAAAAGGAAGTATGGGCATCTAGGTGGCATAGTTGATAGAGCACCAGGCTCTGGTTATTTTCTATCAAAAGAGACAGCTGACTGACATTTATGTTATATTTATACTGTGGTACAGTTGAAAGGGGGCACCCATATGGCTTAGTGAATAGAGCGCTGGGCCTGGAGTGAGGAGGCTCTGAGTTCAAATCCAGCCTCAGACACTTACTAGATGTGTGACCCTGGGCAAGCCACTTAACACTGATTGCCTCCAAAATGAAAGAAAGAAAAAGTTGTAGTAGTGAAAAGATTCTAGCTAGATGTTGGCTAGATTCTAGCCTTGGCTTAGTCACTAATTAGATGTATGAGCACAGGCAAATCATTTATCCAACCAGAATAACCATTTCTTCATGTATAAAGTAATGAGGTTCGATTAGTTTATCCTAAGGTCAATTCTCATCTTAAAATTGCATGACTGAAATTTACTCATTCTTTTTGTTGTTGCTGAGTCGTGTCCAATTCCTCATGACCCTGTTTTGGGGTTTTCTTGGCAAAGATAATGGAGTAGTTCGCGATTCTCCAGTTCATTTTACAGATGAGGAAACTGAGGCAAACAGGGTTAAGTGACCTGCCCAGGGTCACAGAGCTAGTAAATGTCTGAGGCCAAATTAGAACTCAGATCTTCCTGACTTCAGGCCCAGCACTCTATCCACTAAGCCATATAATTGCCCCCTTTCAACTGTGCCACAGTATAAATATAACATAAATATCAGTCAGCTGTCTCTTTTGATAGAAAATAACATCACTGCCTTTCTCAAGACACTTAAGTACAATACAATTTAATCAGACAAAATAAAGGCTGACTTTTTCTCCTAACAAATACAAACTAACAAAAAATAACAGCTATTTTTTTAAAAGCTGCAGGCTATGAGACATTAGGATCACAAAATTTTAAACCCGGAGAAGGCCCCAGAGTTAATCTATTCTAACTCCCTCATCATGCTATACTGCATTCAGTAAGTTGTTCTGTGAGTTTCACTGCAAATAAAAAGTTTCTTCTTAGATTGACACTTGATCACCAAACTTGACTTGTTCTTTTAACTCTCCATTCTATAATGATCAGCTAATCCAAAATCACCTGTATATTCCTGTGTAGCATCAAGTGGATCAATCCAGACAGTAACACTTTCTGCTGGGACCTCTTTGGGTTTGGTTATCTCCCTCAAGATATCTTCAGGGATATTATGATCCCACAAGATAACTTCCTGGTCAGCTGCATCCACATGTTCTTCAGTATTAATCTGGGTTAAAAAAAAATACTTAAGTACAATCAAGAACAAAATGGAGAGAAATATTTCAGGCATATGAACTAGTATTAAGAAAATAATTATATTATAAATTTATGTGAAGTATTTCATGGTTTTTAAAGTGCTCTAAACACATGAATTCAACAACATTATTAAATGGGGTAGGGGTAGGCATTATTTTAAAGGAGTGGAAACTGAGGTTCAGAAGTGTTACACCACTTGTGAAAAGCAACAAAGAGCTATATGGAATAGGACATGTTCAAATCTACTTGTCTCAAGGCAAAATGGAAAGAGACCATCATCAAAGGGAATTTCAACTTCACATCTGAGTTTTTTCAAAGATAACCTACACAGAACATCAAAGTGTCACTTAAGTAAAACAGAGGGTAACTTTTATGATCCAGAAAGTTGAGATGCCAATTTAAGGCAAAGCTGTGTAAGATATAACACTTTTAGACAAAAAAAAAACCTGATCAAAAGTGGGAGAATAGCATTTGACCTTTGGCTCAATGAACACAAGGAGCTACCTTAATGGTTAGGAATGAAAAATAAGAAAACCAAATTGGCAGGTAAATACACTACAGGAATGGGGACTTCAGAGACAAAAGCTACAGAATCTTAGAAAGAATAATAGCAAATGCCAGAAAGACATCCTGATAAGAGAGGAAGCATGACATAGTGGACAGAGTGCTGTTCTAGGAGTCACAAAGACCTAAGTTCAAAGCCCACTTGAGACATTTAAATAGCTGTGTGACCTTCAGGCAAATCACTCAACCATTTATGAATCTCAGTCTCCTCATCTGTAAAATTGGGGTAATAATCCTTTTTTTCCCTATATAATTCCTTCAACAGCAACTTTCCTTAGTACATTCAAAATGTGAATTAATTTATAAAGATCAGATTTATATAAGGAATCATTTTGTTATGTAAAATGAGGCATACTTATACTGTACCTCTCTGCACAGAAATGAGGTAAAGTTATAAAGTTAACTAAGTCACTTACTCTAGCTAAGCATTTCCATGCAAAAAGACCCTCTCCACCCCCAGAAATGTGGCAGGCAAGGGCATGAGTACCCTTCAATAAGAAGCAAGTATTCTGAATATGACTGGCTTATTTGTTTTCTCCTCTCTAACAATGCCTCTTTATGGTTATTCTAGAGCCGGCTCACAGCTTGTGGTTCCGTGGCCAGATGTCACGGCCCTGCAGTACAGAAATCAGGGCAGAGATGGGGGGACACACCAGGGACTAGTCCCCACTCACCCACATGACAGAAATAAGACACAGGTCACAGCTATGTTTTAACAGTTTCAACAAACATCCTCTTACATCAGTGACAATATCATATAAACAGCTGGGAAGAGGGAAAACATTATCAAAATACATCCTTAAGCCCTGAAAAACAGTAACTTATAGAAGTCAATAGCATAGCAGCAGATTGTTCACCTAAACCAGCTGCCTGGTTTAGGAATTCAGTAAATATTTGGTATTCTACTGAATAAACTGTAGGATTAAAATGATTCAAAAATAAGAGAATGAATATTTTGGGGAAAAAAAAGACTACAATAATAGGTCATCCATTACAAATTTATTAAGTATTTGCTATGTGTAAAGAAGGCATTGAAGCAAATTTCTGTTGTTGTTCAATCCTTTTAGTCTTATCTGATTTTTCATGATCTCATTTGGGGTTTTCTTGGCAAAGATAATGAAGTAGTTTGCCATGCCTTCTCCAGCTCATTTTATAGATGAAGAAACTAAGGCAAACAGGGTTAAATGACTTGCCCAGGGTCACACAGCTAATATGGGTCTCAGGCCACATTTGAACTCAGGAATATGAGTCTTCCTGACTCCAGGCCTGGCACTCTATCCACTGTGACACATAGCTGCCCCACTGCAGCAAATCCTAAATTCAGACGAGACACAATCCCTTCTACACAAGATGCTCAATCTGCTGAGAGGATGACATACAGACGCAGATAACCATGACATACATATTGCATGATAAGTATCTTGTTTGTTTGTTTACACAACTGTCATTTCTTTAGTATACAGAACTTCTACTGCGAAAAACAACTTCAGGGACCACAGGTGAAGTCTGGTCTTGTACAGCAGCTGCCTGGAGACAATGAAGGGTTAAATGACTTGCCCAAGGTCACACAGCAAGCATGTGTCTGAGTCTGGACTCAAGCTAGGACTTCCTGACTCCAAGGCTGACCTTTTATCCACTAGGCCAAGCTGCTGGCAATAAATGCATTAGAGAAACAAACTGTTAGATGAAGTCTGAGGAGAAAGATTGTTCCTGATTGGGGGGTTGGAGGGAGGTTCACAGTCACTATCACTGTAGTTTACAAAAGCTGACTTTATCATGGCACACAGCATCTCACCTTTCCTCATCTATCCCAGCCACTACTACACTCTTCTGGCCTGCCCTGCCCCTCCCCAAGCTCCCCCCGAATTCTTCCTTATATTTATTTTATATAGAGTTTTATGTTACATTGTCCCCTCCAACACAATCTAAACTCCTTGAGTGAGGGCAAAAACTTTCATTTTTGTCTGTGTCCTCAGTGCTGGCACATGCTCGATCTACCTCACTCTGTGATGTCAGCCAGTCCCCAACTGCCGCCTCCATGAAATCACCAAGGCAGCTCTTGCTACCCATATCCCAGACCTGTTTATCTCAAGATCTTCAGAGACCTTTTCAGATCTTCAGATAACAACAGGTTCAGCAGAAGCAAAAGCACCAGGCTGAGCCAACCCAAGGCTAGAGCTCTGAGTTACTTGATTCTATAGTTTGAAAATGCCACAGAATTTCCCTTCTTCATCATGTCCTTCCCCAGGTGCTCTAGTTCCTTCCATCCGATCCTAACTACTTCCACTACTGAAATCCTCACCATGACTGGCAAAATACCCTTTTCCCTTTACCCTCCTGCATTCTGCCATTTGGCCAATGTTTTCCCTTATTTCATTTCAACAGACACTAAAATTATAATCCTTTGATGAAGTTGGCTTTCCTTGGCAAACCGGAAGATGTTAAAGAACCTAATTCATGAAACAGCCCTAGGTACTCACTGCTTACCATCTTAGAACTGTGCTTATTTAACATTTATTTATTTATTTCACCTACTTCTACCACGGTTTTTGCATTGCATTTGCATACAGCTTTAACAATTTACCTACTAGCCATGTGACTGATATATAGCAAATCACTTAAGTCTCTATGGCTCAGTTTCCTCATCTGAAAAATGGAGATCATAATACCTGGACTCTCTAATTCACAGGGTTGCTTTATGGAAAATACTTTGTCTTAAAATCTTATATGAGTGCGAGAAGTTATTTGAATCCATTTCAGTAATAGGTCAAATTAGAGAAGCCAAGTATGACTACCACCTCACTCTGGAAAGGCTAGCAACAATGTCAGTTAGGACTTTTTGAGGTTTATATTTATGTAAGCCTATTTAAAAAGAAAAAAAAACTCCATTTTAGTTTCTCTAAAATTTTAAGAAATAATTGTTTTTCTGGCCTAAAAATCTTTCATAGATTTTTCTCTTTAGGCAGGTTAAAAAAAAAAGGACAAAAGGCCTTGCTTGGGCAAATGGATTAAGGATGGTAGCTAAACTCAGAACAAAGAGTACCTCTTCTCTGGTTATGCATTTAACTTCACTTACCCCTTGAAAAGACTGAGCTATTAAATCAACTAAGGTCAGTATCCTCTTTCTACAAATCCAGAAAGGATGTGGTTACCACCAATACTTCTCCATTCAGAAAGGATCCACTGATCGTTGGGAGGAGGCCCTAGCAATCCTTGAGGAGAATAGTCAAGGAAGGAATTGAACAGTGACAACTGTTTTGAATGTTAACCTAAGTATGTTATTTTAACATATTTTAATTTTTTCTTTGTTCAATATTCCCATAAGTATTGCCTCAATTTCTCTCGGTAAAGGACATGTCTGAGGGCCTGGGGGACTATCCCAGTTTGATCTAACACTTTCTCCAAGTCAGAAATGCTTGGGTTATTAGATTAATGTTAATGTTTTAATTGTTTCTGGCAGAGTGCCTACAATACAGAGTACAAGATTAATAGTTTTTCTTTGACGTGCTGGAGCTAATGAAGTTAAAATACCAGTGTCGATTCATAACTTTAGGATTTCAATTCAATTCAAGAAGCATCTAATAAGAATCTATTATAGGCAAGGCGACATCCTAGGCATAAAGACAAAACAAACAAATAAACAACAAAAAAAGGAGTCCCTACATGAATGGCACTTACTTTCTAATACAATGTATTGGATTAATACAATGTATACGGTTGAATTAGAAGTCATAGGTCCTAAGAGTATCTGTTTCATTTCCAAGTATGGATGGATCAAAAAGGGGTGCGGATTGACATTCCCAATATTTCTACAGACACAAGCTTAAAATATTTAACAAGAAACTTAATTTCCACTACCTCTCCATAGAAATCTTTTAAATGCTGTTTCTTTACAAAAATCTTAAAAACGACAGTTTGTAATAGCAGAAGATGAACTGGGTGAGAGACTTGAGTTCTTAGCCCTTGTTCTTCTATCTGTTACCCCAATAAATTATATACTTCTTAGCTTCGGTTTTCTATAGAAATTATCTTATAGGACTGTTCGTGTCAAATCAGATAGGGTATATAAAGCTCTTTAAACCTGTCAACTAAATAATTATTAGGATCATAAATGTAGACCTAGAAGAGAACTAAAGGATCATGTAGTCCAACATCTCTTCTGTGACAAATGAGGAAACTGAGTGCCAGGAAAGCTATATGACATACAGCTAGTAGGTGATGGAACCAGGGCTAGAAAAACAAGAGCATCGGAGGTAGGGTTGGCCTGTGTCCACTTTAAAGTGAGGCTGGCATCTCCACATATACTATTTCACCTGACGATCTCATTAGTTCCCAAGAGTTCAGTTACCTCTGGGGCTCATGATTCCAGATCTATTTCTCCAGCTTTAGTCACTCTGCAGACTTCCA